TTTTTTGATTTATTGTAGAGATGAGGTCTCGCTGCCCGGGCGGGTCTCGAACCCGCGGGCTCAGGCAATCCACTCACCTCAGCCTCCCAAAGGCGTGGGATTACAGGCTGAGCCACCAAGCCCGGGCCTTTTTTTCAGCCTGGAGTAGTGTGGCTGGGCTCCTGTCCAGTTCCCACCCCAGGTGTACCATGATTCTTAGTGTTTTCCGCGGTGTCCCCTGGGCTTGAACCCTCAAGACAGGGCTGCAGCCTGACTGCCAGAAGTAGAGGAGGACTCAAACCTTTGTCCTGCAGAGGGGTGCGCCCCTCCACCCCCTGCACACTGGACGCCTCACAATGTTTATGCTTAGCTTTGGGTGTTTCTAAATGTTTTAACGTTAATATTTAAAAATTGAGAGCCTCACTCTTGTGAATAATTAAAATTGAAAAATCAGAAATTCTGGCGACACTGGGCCCATAGTTTTTAGGATAAGTGACCAGCCTCCATGGGTGGGACTAGGCTGTGCCCACCGTTCCCTACCACCTTACTCCAGGGCCACCTCTGCATGGTACTGCCAGCCGGTCCTGTGGGTGTCTAAGCTCAGGGGCCCTAACAGACCCTTTTCCAGGCAACCTGACCTGTCAGGTCCGGCAGGAAGCCTCATGCCCCCAGGTGGTTCCTCTGTGATAATTAACAATTAACCAAGAGCCCGGGCAGGTAAAGAGAAGCTGCAAGAATGTAGAAGCACTGGAGACTGACAGCCTTTGCCACCCTTAGACCTGAAGGAGCAGGAAAGGGCAGAATGTTGTTGAGCCTGGGGAGAGCTGGAGGTTTAGAGATGGGGATCACCTGGCGGGAGCTGTGATTATGGAGGGACAGTGGGGGTGGGAGAATACCCCAACCCTGCCCTCCCTCACTCCGTCACCTGCCAGTGCTCTCTGTTGGCCCAATCCACCTGTAAAGTGGAGGGCAGGGGATGCGGTGTTCCAGGGTCAGTCTCCTGGGGGGAGGGAGGTGTATAACAGAACCAACAGCTCCATCCCCAACTTAGACCCCTCTACCTCATCAAGCGGGGACCCTGAGTCACCCCAGCATTTCCTTAGATTTCCTCATGGCCCGTCCCCAACTGGTACCTAATGCAAGACTCAATTTTTTCTCCTCCCTTCTCCACAGATTTTCAAAGGTAGAGTCCCTGCCCTGTTTCTAAAGGTC